AGCCAAAACACGGACCACGGCAGCCACAACAGACGAGAGAGGCACGCCAGCCCGCCAGCCAGGGACAGGAAACACAGCAGGGGCTCCTACCTTACAATCCTCAGGACACGATTTCACCGAGTACTCATCCGACTGTAAATATTTCTGGAGCATAACCTCAAACTCTTCGTATTTCTCCTGAGCGTGCTGGTCGTAGCGCTGGTAAGCCTGGACGCACTGGTTGCAGGAGCCACCCCCACTCAGCACCACATCCAGACTGCAGTTCAAAGTGTCCGGATTGGACAACCCGGTGAACAACTCCCAAAGTGTGTAGGAATTACAAAAGGAAAGGTAAAAATCCGTCAGGTCCCAGCCGGGTGCCGGGCTCTGCCCAGCTCCCGGCGGCCGCCCCGGCTCCCCCCGCCGCCGGCACAACGCCTCCGCGTCCCCCACGCTGAAGCACTGCCCGGACGAGGAGCTCGGGGGGGGACACGTCTCCAAGGGCCTGGCGGTGGAGTTCCCCAGGAAAGCAGCTTTGCCGTGCCGAGGCTCGGTGCCGTTGATACGGCGGCTGCTGCTGCCGGGGGAGGGCGGGAGGGAGGGCGAGGGGGGGGCGAGGAGCCGGGGCGCGGGGGGCGCCGGGTCCCCCATCCCCGCCAGCAGCTCCGGCTCCGCGGGCTCCGGCTTCTCGGGCGGCGGCTGCTCCTTCTCTCCGGTCCCCGTGAATTTGGCCTCGGCGCAGAACCACAAGTGATCAGAGAGCAGGACTGTGAAAAACAAGAGCGATGCCAGGGACAGTCGCCATTTCTGAGCCCTCTCTGAATCCGTGAAGGGTTTCTCGTTCTCCCGGGGTGCGAACCAGATTTTTAAGCCGTCATCATACTGCCGACTGCACATCCAAGCACCCCTGGTCATATTTTGGGAACGCACAGCCCTGGCCGACTCCACCGTGAGGGCTCCTTTGCCAGTGTCACCACAATATGCATTGACTTAAAAGATTGGGGGGATTTTCTTGCCTTGCCTTCGCTTCTTTCCCTCGCTCGCTCCCTCTTCCCCTCTCCCTCTCTCTCTCTCTTTCTCCTTCTTTCTCTTTTTCCTTCTGTCTTTCTTCTTTTTCTTCCTCTGAGATATTCTTGGGTTTCGCCGGTGGCTCTGCCTTGGTCTCACCACACGAAGCAGCCCCAATCCATCCAACGCGGAGTGCCGTGGAGAAGATAAGAGCAATAACGCAGAGAGAGGAGGAGGAGGGAGAGGAGATGGTGGTCGTAGTGGTGATAGTTGGTGGTGGCGGGGCTGCGCGGCGGGTCCTTTCCCCCTCTCACCCAGGCATGGTCAGACTGCAGCTCCCCATCTCCCTCCAGAGAAAAGCCCGCTGCCCCCGGACAGCTGCATGCCGCGTCCCCCGCTGCCGACGGACGGCTCCGGGAGGACTCCTCGCCTCCTCTTCCTCCCTGCCGCCGCCGCTGCTCCTCTTCCTCAGCCCCGAGCCGCGGCACAGATGCCTGCACCGCTGTCTCCGTCTCCTCTTTCTCCTCTCCCCTCTCCGCTCTTAACTGGAGAGACGCTGCTGCAGGGCTCCCGGAGCACTGCCGAGGTCCCCGGGCGCACGGGGCGGAACTGCCTGGCTGGGGGCCCCCGATGGGCACAGGCATCTTGGGCCCCTGGGCTAAGTTGCCGCCATCTTCGTCCTGGAGAAACACTTTTTTGGGGGGAGCTCTGCCTTTTGCGTCATCTCCTCCCGCGCCGAGTTCTCTCTATCCTGGCGCATTGGCAGCAGCAGCAACTCTGCCTCCTCCTGCCTGAGGAGGAGGAGGAGGTGGGAGAGGCACTGGGGACCACATGGCCCCTCCAACGGGCTTCCTCAGTGCAACTCTTGCTGATGTTCTTACTGAAGGGTCTCCTTGGTACAGCCCTCTAGCCCTCTCTCCTTCAGGGTCTCCTTCCCTTTGTGGCCCTGAAACACCACGTCCACAAAGGGTGGTAGCTGGAGAGGTCTGTCACTGTGTCTGTCCTTGTCATAGCAAATCACAAATGGCACATGAAACTCCAGGAGCTAGATCCTGGCAGGTTTTGCCCCCACACTAAAATGCCTGAACACAGCTGCCTGACTTTCAGTTAGCGGGCTGGAAGGGCAAATGCCCATAAACCCCAAGCTGCTCCCCCAAAAGAAGTTTTGCAAGACCCTGGTCCAGCACAGGAGCTGGGTAAAAACTGCCAGTATTTGTGTTTCACCTTTTAGATGTCACTGCTTGCAGAGACAGAGTGCAGCAGACTTAACTCTCCCACTAGGGTGATGAGTCACTGATGATCTCCACTTAGACCCAAAGCAAAGATCCCACCACCTCATGGCCCCTACCAGAAGGGTCTCTTGCTTAAATAAACCTACTGTTTGGTCCCTCCTAAATTACCTTCATCTTCCTTAGAGACACACCTTAATGCAACAGTGACAGGAAAACTTGGATACCGCCCAAGAGAAGGTGCCAGCTTGAGGTTGAACATTAAAGGATGAAGGCCTGAAATTACCATGTCTTCCTCTTGAGACATCAGGGATGCTGTCTGGCCATAGCACAACCAGTACTTTCTCTGTTGGACTGGGGAAAGGTTTAGAGGCCATTGCTTTCCTTGTTCTAGAGGTTTTCTCTATCCTGAGTAACAGACCATTTAGGACTGTTAATGGCCCTTGAACAAGGTGCACAATGTACCCGAAAAGGTGGCTTTTCCCAATTATTTTTTTTTTAAAGAGAGCTTTACTCTGTAACAAACACGGCCATGGTCTATAAGCTGATATAGATATCTGGTGAGTCTCTAATTCAGCTTTGAAAGGTGTGGGAAAAATTATGAAACTAAACTGTATCAGAGGATGATAAAACCTGTACCTTTTCTGTTTGCACCCGTAGTTAAATGAGGGATGAGCTTACCAAGGAATGTGCTGGAATTTCCATCACTTTGAGTAATAAATCAAGGCTAGATGTCTCTCAAAAGGAGATGATATACCTCAAACAGAAGACACAGACCTGAGGGAGGAGTTGCTGAGGGAGGCTCTATGCCCTGTGTTATGCCGGGGGTCAAAGCTCATTATCATGATGGTCTCATGTGGCCTTAAAAGATCTATGAGTCAAATTCTACGCTGAAGAGAAGTTATCTGTGAATTTCATTTTTATAGACTATTTAAAGACACAGAAATAAGTGCTAATATTGTAAGGAAAAGTCTACAGTACTCAAATCAGAGTGTATCTTTGCAGTTCTCAGTCAATCAGCTCACACCATCTGCTAATGGTACATTATTAATTTTGGTCTTGGAGCTTTGATTGCAATGATTTGACATATTGGGCCCTGTACTGTATCTGCACGTTTATAATGCTTTCTATTCTGGGACAAGACTGTGACTGAGCTTTTAAAAGGCAAGCAGAACAACTTTTGTAACATGTAGTGTAATTTATTTAATAAAATTCTGCTTGTTTGGTTATGAAGACTGTGACTGAGCTTTTAAAAGGCAAGCATGTAGTGTAATTTATTTAATAATATTCTGCTTGTTTGGTTATATATTTTGAGGTGGAATAGAGGGACTGAAACAGAAATACAGGAGAAAAACAAATAACTAGGATAAACAACAGGTTCCTCACATCAGCTCTGAGATTTTCAGAATGTGGTCTATTAAGATGCGTGGAACTGGCTGCATAATTGTTCTCTGATTGTCAGCCAAACTCGGGGTGAAGGAAGGCAGTTTTGGATTCCTCATCTGGCAAACCGGCTTGATTTATTTATTGGGTTTTAAATACTGTTTTCTTGTTGTCCCGTTGGGAAATGAGAGTGCAATAGGCAATTTTGCAATATACAGGGAAATTAGAAATTATCTCCATAGTGGAATTTTAAGAAACTGGTAATGAAAAAATGCTGGCATCCAGACCTCATCCAAAACTTAATAATTAATCCCTAAGCCTGTGCTCCTCTGTTTACACTTGTCTAGGATCAAAGAAAATAAAGTCAATTTGCTAGGTTTTTTTAGATGCACATGGCTTCTCAAAAAAATCCATTTTCAAGTCATAATATTTTCCTGCATTTCCCAACTATTGTCTGGAAAAATCAAGTGAGAGTTCATTTTCAGCACCTAGCGATAAACTATAATAAGACATTCAGCATTCCCAAAATGAGCACGTCCTTGCTTTTCCAGTGACAGTTTTCTGTAACAGAGAATGTGTCAAGCAGAACTGTTGTTTCGCCTGTTACGTTTCCCCCAAAGCCCCATTCTCTCTCCACCTAGCACGGTGAATAACTTACAATGTTAGTTGCAGCAGCTGGTTCCTGGTGGATCTGAACAGATGCAGTTCAGTTCTCTGGTGCCCCTTAGTGTTAGGTCTTGGAGCTCAAGGGAAAAAAATAAGGCTGTAAAATAATACCTGAAAATCAAGACGCTAATTGCATGCAGTGGGGGAAAGAACCTGAAGTATATACTGTAGCTGCTTTCTCTCAAAGCATCCTCCAAATTTTATAATCACAAATCTGATCTAAATAACAGAATTTTATTAAAAGTAGGCTAATGAGTTATATGACTGTTAAGAAAAAGGACTAACTTTCCTCAAGAGTACAATTACAGAAGAACATCCCCATATTCATAGTTCAACCTAAATAATTCTAGTAGCTCAAAATAATGGCTTCGCTCGACATGGCAGTTTTTATTTGGAATATTTATTACTCACGTTCCAAAGCTTGGCAAGTGTGAGGAACTCTTGAAAGTCTGTCTCCCTTGCTGGTGGGGTCATCAGACGTTCCACAGATGGATCTCCTCAAAGTAGTGTCACTTCTGCCATACAGTGCTTCAGTCAATACAATCAGAGTTAATGTTCTTTAATTATTTGGCTCATTATATGTAAGACACAATATTTTGAGCACTGAGGGCAAAGTCTAACAGAATGAGCATGCACACCATTTCAGAGACTTGAAGCTATTGCTTAACCTACATACCGTGTGTTTACTTTGTGAATGTACTTTAACTTACCAAGCAGAAATAATTTACATAACACATTAATGGTGATAAACACTCATCAGAATAGAAGGCTGAGTAAACGTTTCTGCATTTTTGCCTAGTATCATGCATATATTAGTTTCCTGCATTAGTCTCTTGGTTTTATTTTTTTGATACAAAATTTCAAGGTCTGAAGAGCTGCATGTAGGTCTTTCAGATTATTTTAACAGGTTTGAGAACTGTCTCTTGTCTTTGTAATGTGTATTATTTATATAAGAAAAAATGTATTTTTTTATTGCAAAGCAGCACTTTTTGTAAACTTGCAGTATTTTAAAATAATATATTTAATTTTATTTTGGTTTTGAATGATACAACTAACAGGAGAAATTGTTGCAACAATTGTTAACAGAAATAGTCAGTTAAACCCTTGTGTTAGAGTGTCATCTAGCACTTTTAATATCAAACAAATATTATCAGGCCCATTACTACTTCCTCTTGTATGAACTGTTTTTTTCAACTTAATACATTTTATTGGATAGGAATATCTATACATTTTCTGTGGTCAAAATGATATCTCAAGTATGTGCTTCAGCATCCTCACAGTTGTATACTTTTCTTTTATTTTGACTTCCTAAAACAAATTCTGTGTATTGTTTTACCTAGTATCTGGGTAGTCAGAGATTTAATTATCTGTTTGTTAAGTATAATATCCATGGTGATTTTAAGGCACAAGCAAGTTAAGAACACTGAATAATTAATTTTATTTCCCATCGAAATCCCACTCCTAGTGTTTTAGTTTCCCATTCAGTATTTTACAGGAAGCTGAATTATTGTGAGAAAGCTTCTGGCGGCTGGGTCTGATTGCTCCAAAGCAGTGGGCAATTTATGTTAATGTTAGCAGACACTGAGCTACTAATCCCTGTTCAAACAGCTCTAATTCAGATTTTAAGAT